GAACGGTTGTCGAGGGATTGACTTAACTTGTCTCTTTGACGAGTTCGTATCTTGGTGCGGAGAATGGCAAAACTCACTGATGATGCCGACGAAAGGTTTAAGAATGTACCAAGTCCACCGTCTGATACTGGGAATCATGACAACTACTATGGCAGACGACTCCGGACTAGGTGCGTTTTACTAAGTCACCCTGACAACAAGACCAAGTTGCGACAACGAGGTCAACCCACTTCAATAAAAAGCGGGTTTAGATAACTTTCTTGAAATTTTTTCTTCTAAGATAGGCGTACAAGAGAAGAACTGAGAGGGGAAAATTTTTCGGAAATACCCTGATAATTTCTTCGATTATGCCTTATTTTAGAGAGAAATACGAACCATTGCCGAGATACGGCTGTTACGAGATTGTGACCCTGTTATTCGACCTTACGCTGATGAGATCTGTTTGCCTATACGCCAAAAATTGACGAAAAATAGACATGTTTGTAAAGACACCTGGGTCGATCAGAAGTAGCTAAGCATTGGGTGGAGACTGGACATACGATGGAGCGGTCCCAAATACAGAGGTTTGCTGATTATGGTACGTCCGCTACGAAACGCAAGATAAGGGAGACATTTAAATAAATGGATTAGGGAATTAATTGAACGCAAGGAATGGTGATAAAAAGTTGAGTATGAACAACCCAAACATGATTGTAGGATTAAAGAAACCAAAACTTCATCAATGCACTCAGTGTTACTTAAAGGCTTGCGCAATCTCAGTCCCACCTTTATTTGAGTAGTTAAACTTTGATAGGCTGTTTTGTAATTACTGTGTTACGGACGGTATCTCGTACAGATATAAATATACGCACACACAAGTAGACACACTAGAGTATAAGAAAACTAACAAAGCCATTCTAAATCTCAATATTTTTTGTGGAAACCTAACTTTAAGTAAAAATGGCTGACTGGCCCTATCCTACAAGTAATATATACTCATAACGAAAGAATATTCATATACAGATAGAAAGAATTAGCCAAACCATTATATAACTTTTTATATCTGAATTAATGAGTATGCATATCATGTAAGATAGAGCCGATTTGCCTTCTTGGCTTATCGTTAACTTGATACTTTTGTAAAAATGTTTCAACGGTTATAATGTAAATCATGTGAAGTACAAAGTTTCAGCCTGTTCTCATCCTAAATGAGGGGATATGTCTTGTGGATAGCTTCAACCTGAACACCGTATTTATGCCAAACGTTCGACGAATAACAGGAATCAGTATTTGTATTTTGATGAAATCGACCAACGAATCCCCTGCTCATGCACCTTCCTACGAAATTAAAGTCTTCACAATAATACGGAGACTATAAGTCTACTTATGAACATATATTGAAGTCAGGCAGTTTAAAATGTTTACAGTATATGCTAAACCATAGTAAAGCAAAAAATATATCAGATAAAAGTCCATTAAAGTTGCAAGATGAATTTATTTCGGATTCGAATTTTGAGTAAACAAAATAGTGTTAATCAAGGGTATGAAGACCAAGACGGTGTGGCCTTTTGTGTAGTCGAAGTCTCCTTTCGTTGTATAGAGGTTGTTTGACCTTAATTTCGCAACTTGGTCATATTGATATGAACGCACCTAGTCCGGAGTCTATTGTATGCATGAATCATTTCCAAAGTCTGACCGTGTATGTGGTACACTCCCAGACGTTTCGCCGGCATCGTCAGTGAGTCTCGCCACTCTTAGCAATACACAACTCGACAAAGAGATAAGTGAAGCCGATTCCTTAACTAAACGTGTGCTAAACAGTTGTGATATCTCCCCGTCTGCCCTTAGCTATTCAGATTTTCTATATCCTATCACGCCTTCATTGTTACTATTTTTATCGTGCTCATTTAGATGTAGTGCGGTGTGCTACTTTCAGCGGCATTAATGAAAACCCTTCACACTTCACACTGTCGTTCTCACCCCATTCACCCTTCCACTGGGAATGTTGATCAGAATCTATCATATTGTTACGCAGTCCTCCTTCCCTAGGTCTTATCACAGTCTATCTCTTGCCCCGTAGGATCCGTCTGCCTGGTTCACCTATTTCACTCGACCCCTGCCACCCCATTTGTCCTATTCGAGATGTTATTACCCCTCCCATGCGCCTGGGTGACTAATTCGAGGTTAAGGCCTCTGAGTAAATTTCATCGTCAAGCCTTTGCTACATGGACCACGTCTGTGGTAAAACCTATTGTTAGCCAACTAGATCCAGTCTCAGCCGTATCTTTCCTGTTTATATCCGTAATACCAAATATATGACTTGCTATGCCTTAATCTCTTGTGTGCTAACCCATAAATGTTGTGGTACTGCTTGCTTTGATTAGGTTCATTGTTGAACCACAACGTTTGTGAGTTGGTACACGAGAGATTAGGGGGTAGGAAGTCATAGAATTGATAGTATAGATAGAAAGGGGATGGAAGTAGCGAAAGCTAGAGCTAGTGGGCTAACAATAATCGTGATTCAAGGATCACGTCTCTGATCAAACACGTCTATTGTTAGCCGAACACCTCTAGTCTCCACCGCGTCTATCCTATTTCTATCCATAACACCATGTCTATCACTTGTTATGCCATAGTCTCTTGTGTCCTAACTTGCAAATGTTATGGTTCTACTTGTTCTGATTAGGCTTAGTGAAGACGTCTCCTCTTTGTTTTCGATTGTTCCTGTCTCGTCCCCATGCTATCCCTTTTCCTAAAATTAAAGATATTACCTTGATCCAGTCGTCTTCTTTTTACTAATATTACTGTTGCCTGGTCTTCTCCGAGTTTGTTTATGCAATATGCAAAGTTTTCACTGATCCTGCCTTCTTCAAATCTCCTGTTCATTAGATTTCTGTCGGTCATTATATCGATGGCCTCTCAGATCTTGCGTCCGACTTTGGAAATGATCATGCATACAATGGACTCTGGACTAGGCACCTTACTTTAGTCTTCCTACCAATATGACCAAGTTGCGAAAACAAAGTCAAACAACTTCCAAAATTGTCTTAAATTTGATCGAAATCAGGACACTAAACACTCTACCTTGAATTTTTCCAAAAAGAACTTAGAGATTTCAAGTAAATGATAATAATGTTATATCGTGTGAAAATGTCCGCCAAAAATCATATTACAATAAATTTTAAGTGAGGATCGAGTATATATAAAGTGTAAAAGATTCTAGTAAGGCATCTTTCAAAAACTATGAATTTCAGAAAGAATGAGCAAAATTACGTTTAAATGCTGGACAATTGTTGAGCAAATTTCTATTCAAATGAAGGCATATATCAGCTTGCAAACATTCTGGAAAGCTGCGGAGTACCATATTCATGTCAATACCATTTGTATATGACCAAGCGTGCTGGAAGAACTCCTCCAATCTCTGTCGTAGAGGGTTTGGAATCTGATGAAACCGAATGAATTCCTTGACCCGCAGCATCTGTATATGATACCGAGCAGTGCCACTGTAAAGCCTCTGGATGATAGCACTCACATGACCAAATATACCAGCATACATTAAGGCTAAGAATTTTGGAAAAATAGAACAAAAACTGATTTATCAGATAGCTAAAAACTATTTTAAACTGTAAAATTGTCTTAAGTTTAAAAATGTCTTTATAAGGTGAGAATAAAAGCAAGCAAAGCATAAGAAAAGAAAGCTAAAACAACATGTTTTAAACCACATTCTACATGCTTATCGGGACAGAATAAGCCAAGAAGTATAGTAATTTTCAAGAAGAATCGAAACGATTTAAAAAAAGACAAGAGTCAGATTAGGACAGCCCGCAACGCAGTTTTGCGGCAAATTTCCTCTTCAAATATTATTGAAAAACAGTCATGAAGACCATGATGGTGCATCCTTTAGTATGGTCGTGATCTCCTTTATTTTAATAAATTCGTTTGACCTTGCTTTGCAAACTTTGTCGTATTGTCAGGAAGACCTAGCGAAACGCACCTTGTCCGGAGTCCATAGGATGCATGATAATTTCCATTCGGAATGTGGACCTTGTATATTGCCAGACGTTTCGCCGGCATCGTAGTTGGCGTTGTCAATGCACATTGCCATTCTTAGCACCACACTACAACTCGTCAGAGACAAGTGTCTCTGCTAAACAGTTGTATTATCTTTCCATCGGTCCTGGTGTATTCACCTATCCTATATCCTCACAACACCAAGTCATTATCGCAATTTTTACTTGTCTACCTAAACCTAACATCGATATCCCCTTTTAAGCGTATTTAGTAAGATCTATTCAGAATCCTTGTCTTTTCCCTAATCCCCCTGCCACTGTGCCGAGTCTTGATCTAAGTCTTATTAAGTAATTTTACTCGATCACTGCCACCATATCCATGCCACTCGAGGCGTTATGTTCTACACTTTGCATCAATCCTTTGATAGCACGTATACGCCAGTCCTACTGAGCAAGCCTCCAAGGTCTCGACTTTCAGGTAGCATGGAAGCCTAACTTGACACTGCAGATTTCCTTATCATGGATTGACATGGCAATATTAGTGAAAACCTTGTATATTGCCTAAGCGAATTCGGGGATCAGGTAACAGCAGGATCAGCTAAAAGAAGACGAATAGATTAAGGGAATATTTACAATTTAAAGAAAATAAACCTCAAGGAGACCAGTGAGGAGCAAATGAAAACTAAGAAAAGACGTCTACAGTAAGACTACTCAAATCAAGTAGGACTATCGCATTTGGAGGTTAACACAAGATAATAGGGCATAAGAAAGGCAGTATGAATAGAAGCACAGGAGATGCAGCAGGGACCATATATAGCTGGATAATAGTAGATAAGTTTGATCATAAAAGTTGTCCGTAAAGTAAAGGCCTGATTCCAAGATTTACTCGGTAAGCATGCGGAACAGTGATAAAGAAATATAACATCAAGTTCCTATAGGTCTTCCTGACAATATGACCAATTTGCAAAAACAGGACCAAACAACATATATAACTTCCAATGTTAATCCCAAGAGATTAGCAGCTCTATTAAACTTAAAATGTGGCCAAATGTAAGGCTCTACAACAAATAGTTATTTCTAGGATTTAATGTCATCATTTCATTTGTAATATGGCAGCGATTACAAATGAATGGTTAAAGGCAGCAAAAGGTATTAGTAAAATGAAATTAATCAATAAATATTGACCACTTTGTTTTAGTTATACTACAGCTCGGCAAGGGGACTTATACAATGAAACAGATTAAAATGTTGCCATAACTTCTGCCTAAAAATCTATAAAGGGGATTTACTAACAGGAGATAGCGGAAAAAAAATCATATGGCTTTCCTTAGGATTTCAGAGCAGATGATCTCCTTAATGCGGCCAAAATGCAAACATTAGTGCATAGTAGGAAGCACTAAATACACTTACATCCAATCAGCATAGTACATATGGAGAATATCTTCTCAGGATTAGTATTCGGACTGACATTTCCAAAGCCAACTGACGTGAGGCTGGAGAATGTAAAATATAGCGCCGTTATATACTTGGACTTGGAGCTGGGGCCTGACTCAAACCAAGGGAGAGTGTGATTAAAGCTGACCAAAAAGCTCTCATCATCTTGATAGGGTTGCTTTGTGTGCTCTGCTAGGACATCAAGCCAGCCAATACGCATCTTCTGTTGTTGACGCTCGATGTTGCCGATCGCATACCAAATGCAGGCGAGCCAGTGAGCAATTAGAGCGAATGTAGTCATCAAGAAGAGGAGTACAACGGCGCCATACTCTGAGTAGCGATCAAGCTTGCGAACTACACGCACCAAACGCAGCAAACGTGCTGTCTTGAGAAGCCCAATTAGACCAGCCATCTAAAGAATAAATGGTGATCAACGTGAGAAGTAAAGTGAATATTCCTAAATGCATCAGAGCAAAGTATATGTTCGTCATAGTAGAATATTGCTTTGTTGAGCTTCAACACAGACTTAAACGGATCACTTAATAATAAGCAAAACCGACTAGATGTAAAAATAGTAATAATGATAATGCCGATGTTTAGGTATAGTGGCTAATGATCAAATCTTATAAATATAATCTTCAATGAGGATGTAATGAAATGATTTAATAATTTGTAATTTAAACAAAAATGACTCATGCTGGAAGTGAAATGATAAGATTGGATAATAATTATCTAAAGACGCTCCCAAAATTGGGGAGTGAACCTAATACGATGAAAGCAATCATGCTTATAAATAACAAATCAAATCATTAAAAATAAAATCTCTGAAAATAGGTCACAACGGCAATATGGTGATAGTGATAGGCTAATAAATCATCACAAAGTCTCGCTTACCGAAAAAAAACTTTAGGATACCAATGGCCTCAGATTGCTTGTCATGAGATAAAAAGCTGATCACCATCCTTTCATAACGGCAACAGATAAATTTCAGCATAATCAAAAATAAGTACTCGAAAAATATACAGGAATCACTTATTTAGTTAGTGGATAGCAAACGCTTGTATACATATATTTAAATGGCAATCCTTAAATGATGGTTTCACTGAAATACACTAATACAGTAACCGTGGTGATCGGATATTGCAATTTGGATGGCAGCTCATTACATTTTAAATTCGCCCTATCAGCAATAAACAACTGGTATAGGTGATAATTAAACCTAAATAAGGCTGAAGTGTAATGAACCCTGGAGAAGGATAAATTTCCGAGGTAGCATAAATCGAAAATTATAGAAAAAGTTGAACCAACTAGTAAAATAAGTGTCGAATAATGCCTTACTGTCAAAATGATTACGAATTAACCACCCATTAGATATCAATTTCAAATCTATGCCAAGGATGGCGCCTCTCACTAACGATATCGGCAAAGCGTCTGGGAATGTACCAAATCCACAGTCCGATGCTGCGAGTCGTCATGACTACTATGGCAGAGGATGCAGAAATAGGTACGTTACTCAAGGTCTACCTGTCGCTTCGACCAACTTTCGAGGTCAAATCAATACAAAACAAACTAAACTCTCAAACTGACCTAATATGCTTTGTTGACGAATAATAAAAATAAACTAAAGTTAAAATTTGCTAAATTTCCTGTGGCGTTGAGTCTTGGTAAGCTTATAAGGAAAATGTACCAATACACTTAATACTTAAAGTAAAATTCAATACATTTGTGTAAGTTATAAAATTTACCATAATTACTAAGTTTCAAATGAAGAAAATGTGCGCACATGATAAGTCTTAGCAGCATAGGTAGAGTAAGTTAATATTGAGGCAAGTGGATAAATGACGAAGCTTAGAAATAAATGAGAAAGATTCGTAGTAGTATAACGGATATATCTTTGGTATGGGTATAACGTTCCATAAAAATGACAATAGAATAAAAGAGAAAAGCAC